AAAAAGTTATCTTCTCAGACATGAAAACCATATTTTTCAAAAAGAAACTGCTATTCAACCGAAACCGTTTAAAGCATAGATCAATACTAGAGGAGACTATTATGAGCATTAATATACTCTGAGCAGCATTATAAATCAAGCACAAGTCACACAGCCAGTGCCGTGAAACGTACATACGTAATTCGTTCGTTCGCTGTTTGGAATGATATGATAAAACTATTTTATTAAGATGACTCATCACATACCAGCCAATCATTTGTCTGCTGATAATAGACATTGAACAAACCGAAACTTGTTTCAAATTTTTATTTTGAAAAAGAGAAAAATAGCACGTAATCTTTTCCATTCCATTTTGTTTGAATTATTTAAAAGATTAAAATTCATAATGATAGATGCCTCTAGTCTGTGTATATCATCTGTAAAATGAAAGCTGATTTTATTATCGGTTCAGAACCACCATGAACATAAATGAGAAACGAGATACTTCTAATTGTGGATGGTACTTTATCTTTACCTTAGAAAGAAAAAATTCTTTGGACTATTTTGTGAAACTCAATACATTTCAGTTCTACTATAATACTTTCTTTGATTCATCGTTATCATTTGCTCCGTCTTTATTGAAACTCACTCTCAAAAATAGAATTAAACAAAGCCAGAAATCAAGCGACACCAAAGAATACGCAGTGCGATTATGAAACTTTCTTATGAAAGAAAATTTTTGAATAAGGAATTATATCTATGTTCATGAACCTCGCAAATTTCGTTGTTGCGACGAAATATCTACATGAAATTTTTTCTTCTATTCCAAGTCAAAACACTCGAATCAAATCTGACTGCCATTTCCACGAATTCATACTCATAAAGCAATTTTTATTTTCTTCGATGCGTAAATAAGACAGTAAAAGATTATCTACTTGCATTTTTTCTGACTCTTCGTTCTCGAGATTATTACAGCGGAAAACGATAGCTTCCAAAGTGTGTATCTAATCAATAAAATAATAGAAAACAGACAAAGGAATCCGTAAATACAGTTTGATGCGGTCCCAGGTTTCGGCAATGAGGTTGTTCAAAAGCAAAAGCCGAAAACTAGCTCATCACTTTTAATTATCTCGGATACAAGATGGAAGCTGTCTCTCTATTTTGCAGAACTTATTAAAGATGAAGGAAAATTCATATTGCAGATTCAACAACATTTGCATCATCTTGAGACATCGGTTTCTTCGAGAAAATTCCAACGATTTTCTAGAGACTTGCCTTTCTCTAGATCATTGCGACATGAAACACAGTAGAAAACATGCCATATGTAGAGGCCGACTGCAGCAACGCTGTGCTTCGTGTTGCATTCATAAATAGAGGCTCAAAATGATATATAATAGGAATCCGAAGAACGAATGAAAAGAAAAGAAGGTGTAGAATAAAGTATTGTATTTGCATTGCAGACTTTATCGATGGTTGCGATTTACACAATACCTCAAACGAATAGTCATATGAGTTATGCGTTTACATATGTATTTCATTAAAGACAAGTTAGTGACGCTTTGATTTTTCCAAATATGAACCTTTTCCATATACATAAATATCAAATAATCTCGTTGTTTTATAGAATAGTTTCTTGTCTCTAGCTAATATTGTATAGGTGTTTTTTCCCATATTGTCATAGGCTTATAGTAGTTCAGGAGTTGTTAACATTTGCTTGGTTAAAAAAAGTTGAAGATTACATTTCAAAGTGATGTAAAACTTTTTGAAATCAAACTATTCTTTGCTATACTCATTCTTCAACTTAATCAACTGCTAATAAACTGTATTGTCATTTAAGGAATTTACTAATCATTAAGTCAATTAATTGATGTTATAATTATTTTACCAAAACATTTAAATGATAGCTTTGTTCATATTCCACGATTTTTCTCACTACTGATGATATAGCAATCCGAGATTAGCCGATCGTCTCAGTACATAGTTTATCCAGTTTTAAATTAGTGAATGAAACTTTATGTGTATTTCCATTACAAAAAAAGTTAGATTTTATGAATTTATTCTAAAATTAAGTATTTTAGTAGGAAATACTTAAATGTACGATTGTTTCTGTCACTACTTTTCTTTCGATATATCTCGTAGAATTTTATATACTATTTACAGCTGCCGATGTTTTACACCTTTTTACTGGGCATATGTATAGAGTTTCATTATTGGTATGAAATATAATTATAGACAAAGGTAGATTTGACGATTCATCACTTCAATTCAATTACTGTGAACTCGATCCAATCAATATTACGGATTACTAGCTACAGTTTAGATCAAAGAATATTAGTCAATTTCAACTAAAAATATATATAGTGTTCAAATCTAGATCTTTATTGTAGCTTTACTTTGAAGCTTCCGAATTAGATAAATACATTTTACTCATGATAATGAAGGAATGATCACTTTTTTGTCAATTTTAACCAAATCGAATCAAGATATTCTTATTCATTTCGATCTTTAGTTTAAATCACATGTATATATAACTAATAACTATTCAAGATCAATAACTCATATTTAAAAGGAAATAAGAGTAACATGAATCTTTTTTTTTTTATTGAAATCCTACAACAATAATAACAACAACAAAAAACACATATTTCAAAGATTAAATCATTTCTGATTTATCTAAGTCACCAAACGATAAGTTATATATCGACCAGCTGTTTCCGATGTTCGAGTAATACGTACAACCTAAAATTACAATATTAAATCTTATAAAGAAACGTCCTCAGATGTCAAATTATTTTTCAATCAAGACAACATTTATTTAATGATTAATAGAAATGCCTAGGATGGTTTTGTTGTTCGAACTTCCATTCTAGATTTTTCTATTATTCATCGAATGAATATCGTCACAATTTGACACTTGAAATAGTTCTATTGTTAATTGATATTATTCATCACATACTTGTCCACGTTTTAAACCAAAATATCGAGCAACAGGATCACCATATTGAATACGTGGTAATTGACTTTCTTTTAGACGACTAAATCAAAATAATAAAACATAATATTTATATATAAGAAAAATAACAAAATTTCATTTATTTTTACTATCGTCCTAATAATTCTTGTTTTTCTTCTTGTGTTAGTATAACATGTTTTGGGACAAGCTGAAACACAATTTTTTTTTTGTTTTTAATTCAATAAATGTTTTCAATTGAAATTAACTTACATTATGTTCAGTAATATTAATTAATAATTCACTTTCAAGAAAAACTTGAAATGAAAAACTTTTATTTTGTAATTCCGTAATTAACTAAAACAAAGAAAGAGAAAAAAAATAGATTTTCATAACACAAACTAAACATATATATATATATTATATACATCACGAGCTGCTGGTGTTAAACCAGTTTGTACAACAAGAATTGAATGTGGAATACTTTCTTCTTGCATTTTTTTAAAATAATCTTTTATTCTATCAACACCTATTTTAGGTTGATCAGGAAATTGAACAATCATTGTATCTGTTGGATCATCATTATGAGCAACCATTACAATTAATTGAGATCGTGCTGGTTTATTTTCACTAGTAATAAATTAAAAAAGAAATTTTATTATTTCTATATATGAAATAATTTACCTTGGTTTATCACCAAAAACAGCCTTAAATTGATCAAGTGTTTGATCAAGTTCATCTTGACTTACAAGATAACCACGATCGTGACACATCTATGATATAATCGAGAAATGTAAAAAACATATTTGTTCTCTTTTCTAAATATGATCTTAAAATTTTTATATTAGTAATTCGAGAGTAGAAAAAGATATTTTTGAAAAGATTTTCTCTTAACGTATAATTGAGATGCCTTGTCGAAAGACCAAAATATAGTGTATTTTTTATGGATAGATTTTTGATCTACAAGTTGATTGCAATAGTTAAAATAAAAAAGACTTTATCGCCCAAATTAATTTTTTGGGCTTTTCAAATTTTTTTTTAAACTATTCTCAAACAAAAACTGAGACAAAATTTCTTAGCATAGAAAACTTTGTTGTTAACTCATAGTGTTTGATTCGTGAAAAAATTTTTCCGACCATCCGTTACTATACCGACTGATAGATTTTGAAATTAATATTGTCATGATACTAATTAGTTTTAAATTATTGCTCTCAGTTGATATTAATTAGCTTAATATTATAAAAAGAATAAAAAATTAAAGCGATATATACATATTATATACTAGTACCCTTTTCAAAAAAAGATAGGTAAATATTTTTTAATAGAAATACGATAAAGTGTTGTGATTTTCATCATTAGAAAGGTGCAGTGAAGTCACAACGAATTCTATATTATAGATTCTCATAAATTAAATTTTTTTTCACAGAAATTACTTAAAAACCCAGCCAAAAATTTCTATTAAAATACCTATGACATCTGAATAACTAAATCTAAAAAATCTGTAGCTTGCGTAGTTTTGAAAACCCTCCATTGGCGTTTTGGATGCATATTTGATAATTAGCTCACTATTGCACTGTTTGAAAATATGTTTTTTTTTTGTTGCCACTAGAAAAATATAAGATTTCATATGATACGAATTGATTATTTCGCCTAAGGTCTATGTACTTTGCTTTTGTACATTAATTGCAATTCTTTATGAATGTTTTTATAGGTCAATCATTAATAAAAAAATGTAATTTCACATATAGTCTTTTTGATTATGAAATTTGTCCAAAAAATTTTATGTGGAATCCTCTAATAGAATTAATTATATGAAATTTTTTTTTTACCTGTAGAACTGTTTTTCGAATACGCCATAATTTATAAGTTTCAGCTTCATCATCCATTTTATTGTTCTTAAAGATTATGATTTAAGTACAAAAACAAAAACACACACTATGATATTTTAAATTTCATTGGTTGAATATATTAACCAACAGATATTGATTGATTTTTCTATTCATCATCATCATCTTATATCATATTTCTATTAAACAAACAATCCATACATATACGCTATTGATTTATTTAAATGACAAAGAAAAATTTAAATACAAAAAATTTTCCTTTATTAAATGAAATTGATGAAGGAATATATTTTAATAATATTGATTGGAATAAAAGTGCTTTTCAAACATTACTTGTAAGTTTTATTTGAAATTCGATTTTATTTTATTTTTTTGTTTTTCTAATATTATTAGACATCAAATTTACCAACAACAACAATATTCTATTATGCAATTGATGTTGGTCTTCGACGATTAGAAAATAGTTTATATGAAGCTTATTGGGATATAACAGAAGATGCATTACATGAGTAAGAAAAAAAAATAAATAAGCAAAGCAAAAAAAAACTATCAATGTCTATTTCATTTTTTAAGTTTATCTCAATTTCTATTTAATTCATCCATTGATAAAGATGTCGAAGGTTATTTATATGAAGCTAAATGTCAATTACTAATGTATTCAGCAATTTCAATAATTAAAATGAATACTATTGTAATTAATTATCGTTTTTTTTTTCATTTTGAGAATATGTAATTCGATTTTTGATAAAAAATATTCTAGAGACGTCGATCGATACATGATGCTAAAATGGCATGTGCAACAATATGTTTATTATTATTAGAGCGAAGTAAACCATATAAAATTTCATCGACTATTAATGAATATTCATCTTGTATGCGTATAATGCATGGTCGATATTTAAAACGAATATTTATTATTGGTAAATATATTTCATTGATAATTTTTATTTTTAAGTCGTATTATATTTGATTAAAATAGTTTATAGACAAGATGTTTTATTGATTTTTGATTTACTAGAAAATATTTTTGGACAAGTCAAAAACTATGAACCAAAAACAATAGGAGTCGAGAAAACAATTTCAAATTTAGATTCCTCAAACGCAATTATCTTTGATTAAGCTTTATAAAAAAAAAAAAGTTCGTTATTTTTAGAAAGTCTTCTTTCGTTTGATATATTCGGAAAATTTCCGTTTCTGGTTATAACTGGATAGTAACAGTCACTTCTCTCCTCTATTCAAATGACTAAAGACGTTCATACTCATGATCGTAAGCTGTACAGTCCTCTTCAAAACTATAAGTTAGAATCTTTATGTATATATCAGTTTGTAGATCAGAAACTAACCTACAAAAATGTGTCTCGATTTTACGTTAAAAAATTGTTTGAATAAAAGCTACAGCTTAATTCAATATCATATTTTGTAGGGTAATGTCTGCTCTTCGATACGTTTTGAGCATGTTCGAAAAGAACTTATAGAGTAGACAAATAATCGAATATAGAATACGACGAAGAAATAGATATTATCGGTATGATGAATTTTTCAGTCAGTAATAAATGCTGTCTTGCACTCATCAAATAATGCACTATTTAATCGATCGATAGATTTTTTTATGTACTATGAAATTTAGCTTTATCTAATACTAAACTCCTGGGATAACACTTAAGTGCACTATGCATTGTTCATTTGTTAAATACTCAAGTTTCTCTTTATTCATTTTATCTTCCATACAAGTATTTCTCGTGTTGAGTAATATAGTTTATTATACTTCACACTTATGGTAAGTGACAAAAGTTTCCTAACACTGAATATTAAGAGAAAGATCCACTGTATAGTTTAAGAATGAAATCCATTTTATTCATTGAAAAGCTTCAAATCATTTTTCAACTCTGTATGAAAGGTAGAAAGTCGGTAAAAGTCACAATACACTTGAAGATGCTTGCTATATCCTGTTCATTTTGAATTGTACTCCCAAAACAATTTTCTCGAATGAATTTCACTGAAAACATTTGCTCAGAAATCATTATTCTACAAAAAAACAAAATAGGTAGAACTAGAATTAAGTCTGTGTCATTATACACAAAAACACATAAGTATCTGTCAAACATCGAGAACGGAAGCACGAAGAAGAAGAAGAACTCAAATTTTAATTAATAATAAGGTGTTTAAAGAAGAGTAACTAATAAACATTGTCCAAAATCTTAATTGTATCAAAAAGTTTCAGGTCATTCGTACATACATAGTATTTAACTTCTGCTATGTCGATATAGTGACTGAAAAAATTCTCTATCATGATTGGTGAACTTAAAAACTCGAATAAAACTACTTTGATGAGAATAGCAGGAAAGCCAAATCTTCTAAAACCAATTCTACGACATTCATTTTAAGTTTTTTTGGAAATAATTTTATTTGATAGAGTAAAATTCAATATCTTGGCTCTCTTCAACAAATTCCATGCAATTTATAGAAGACCCTAGAAACTTTTCTATGAAAAGTTTTAATGATTTCTCCTATATTTCACGCTTTGGAGTTCTCTATAAAATGAAGGCAATTCAATGAAGAGAATTAACACATCTCATTTTACTCTATGAAATAAAACTCTTTCCAAACAGTTTCATCGGAGTTTTTAGGTTTACCAATCTTAACCAAGAACCATTTCGGACACTCAAATCTTTTTTTTGTCAGATTCCTCCTAGTTATTACTATCGAGAAGAAAATTCAGAAATACAATAGTTCTAAACTTATGTCCGTCACTATATGTAATCATATTAAATGAATATACTATAGTTTTAATAGATGACTTAAAAACAGAAAATTTTTAATTAATTAATTTATTTAGTTCAATGGTTATCAACATTATCGAAAATACAAATAAATGATATGCAAACAAATTATGAACGATATGTAAGTTTTAGATGAAAATTTTAATTTTTAATTATTGAAAATTTTTAGATTACATTTATTATTGATCAATTATTTTCAACAGTTTCAATAACTGATAAAATAAATAATTTTATTGATATAAATTTATTTGGTAATAATCTTAATGATGATGAAGTAACATCAAGTGGTTTTGTATTTGTTCCACATTTTCCAATATTTAATGAAGAAATTATTGATAAACATAATGATCTAATGAATATGGGTCTTGTTAGTACATTAAATCAATGTAAGAATTCTAATGATTCATACAAAAGAAGTCAATTAGATTTCTTTCTATTACATAAATCTTCTTTTACACAGAAGGAAAACGTATCAAAGTTTATTTACTCGTTTTTAATTGTATATTGCAAACAACGCTTTGATTCAGAAGATGATTATACGAACTGAGGATATTTGTAAAAACTGTGGATATTTGCTTTTTGTGGACACCTATAACCATGATTACTTAATACAGAACGCTTTGATGATACAAGAATTTCCTTTAATGAAGAAATTTTATCAAGTGATAAATTGGTTCTGAAATAAGCCTTACCTCATAATGTAGGTTCTATTAAGACTAGAGAAAATGCAAGAAGATTCGAACTTGTACAACTTTCGTTTTAAATAATAGTCATTTTAGTAAATTGTTCTAGAAAATACCATAGGCTGTCTCAAATTATCTTCAGAGCCAAATTTTTGAGTTCAAATTTCAAAAATATAAAGTTCTGAATTGAATTGGTTCATTACGAAAGGATTAGATTTTCGAATATCTCCTATCGTCATATATTAATATACAAAGGAGGTTTTAATATTGATACATGAAAATAAGACCTAATAGAAAACTTGATACTTTTTTACAGTAAACTAGTAAAAATGTAAATTTTAAACTCAAATTCTTTTAGAATCTCTCTAATCTTTACAAAGTCTACCTTATAAATGAGTGATGTACAATCGGTTTTATTGAGAAGATTCTGACAAGTCGTAACAAGATGGAAACAAGAATACGTTGTCTGGATTTTTCAGTTTCCGACAAGAAACTACCGTCAGATACGATCATTATAATGCTGCTTACAAGTTCCTACCATTTTCCGGAACTGTTTGACAGGATACCAAAATCAGTAACCTAATCTAAAAGAATATGACTCTTTTCATAAGTGATTTAGATGAACTGACACTGACATTTTCAATCTTCCTAATTGAACAGTTTTCTTGATTATACATTAACCAAAATTCTTCATCTTTCTTTCTCGCTGATTTTTTTCATTTCTAGGAAAATAAATTCGAAATTTTTCTTTAGAGATTAATAGACAATTATCGGGATAAGATCATCTTTTGAATCTTCAAACATTTTTCTCATCAACAGATTCAATGCTTTACAAAATGAAGTGAAATTATATAAGCCATGATTTAATATGAGAGAAATTATCATAAAGAGTGTAGTGACATACTTAGATAGTGTTTAGCCCTTGCGAAAACTTTTTATTGACTATACTACTAATAAAATGTTCGATTCTAATTTTTCAAGTCTAAAGTTCTGTCATATAAAATGATACTTAGAGTCTCTTCTTTTTAATTTTTACCGTTATTATATTGAATTTTTTTTTTAGTTAAAAATAATCTTGTACGAAAATTAATTTGTTATATATGGACATTATGTTGTATGATTGAATCGAATCGAATATCACTTGAAAGTAAGAATTAAAATTAAAACTAAATTTCTATAACTAAATTTTCTTTTTTTCTTTGTTAGTTATAAGTAGTAGTACAATACGTGAACATTTTTCATTATCACCTATCGATTTTGAACAAAAACCAATTAAATTTGAATCATTAAATGAACGAGATGTTATTGTAAATATTATTATTAAAATAAAATATTCTTTGAATAATTTCATGGTTCGATTCATTTCATTAAGGTCTTTCTTCTATTATGTGCTCAACAAAATATATATTTACATAATAGTGATTCAACTTTACATCCATATTTACTTTTTTCCTTATCTCATCTATGTACACAACAACAAAAAAATTGGTGGCAAACAGCTATGGAACAAACGTAAGAAAACAAAATTATATAAAAAAAGTCTAATGTTCGTTGTTTTTCTAGTTCATGGAATGAATTTATTGATCATCTTGCTACAATACGTCTCAATAATGAACGAATATCTCAACATCCACCAAAACAAGTCATACTTGAAACTGCTCGAATTCTTTTAAAATCGGTAAATAAATTTCTCAGAATAACTGATGAAATCAGCTACTGTAGCATTTGTTTTCGTCGCAACTATACTGAATTCGTTTGTTGATGCTAATGAGCATTTTTATCTGTCAATTTGATAACCGATCAGACTACTTTTCATATAAGTTCGTTGAACGTTAATAAAAACGATATAAAAATATTGAGAAAACAATCTAAGCATACTATTTTGTAGATGGAATTTCATTTAACAGACTTTGATCAAAAAAGTGCGACTTGTGTGAAACTAGTGTGATGTTGTAAATTAGCATTCAAAACTGAGTAGATGCGTCCAAGTTTCAATCACTTTTATGAAATTTTTTTTCGTCGAAAAAACAGATGTCTAATCCCTTTCATGCGGTATGAGTGAAAAAGTAAATTCTGTAAAAACTCAAGTTTTACAGTTTATTTATCTGCGATTTTGAGTTCTACTATTATTTGACAAACTTAAAACGTCATTTCCACTGATGAGATAATTTTTTCACTCATTTCTAAAAGGAACCAAGAGCGATTTTTTCGACAACAAAAACCTGTTCATAAAAATACTTAAAATTCACATTGATATACTCAGTTTTGAACACTGATTCAGGTTATTATGTTAGTTTTATACAGGTTGCAGTTTTTTTGACCAAAATCTACTGAACACTAGTGGAAAAATATGCAGAGAATCATGTCTTCAAAATAGTATCCTTAGAATTTCTTCTTAAATGTCAACGTTTTTTTGTTCTCAATAATGTTCCATTGTTGTGTAACATTTGAAAAGTTCTTTCAAATTATATAAAAATAAGCCTGACCGATCATCAATTGGATAGACAAAAATGCTGATTATTATTAATACTCTTTACCTATTTCAACGAACCTAAGCACAGTACAAACAAGTAGTATAACACGATTTCTCCTAGAAATCGCTTTTGGGCAACTTGTGTAAAATTTTGATATAAAAGAAATCGAACTTCTTGAGGCGGTTAAGTTCATTAGTTGTTAATCTCTCTATTTTATCTTATAACATCGTTTTATTTTTAAAAGGCTCAAAATCTTTATGAGCAACATGCTAAACGTGCTGGATCATCTTATGAACAATATGGAATACGGTATCTTCAAATAGCTAAAACAAATCAAAATAATCAGTAAAGAATACAAAAAATAAAAAACGGAAAAAATAATTTTTTTTTTATTTCTAGGGGATTATCAGATTCAATTAATAAAACAAATATTCAGGGAAATAAACACGATAAATTATTTTTCTTCTATTCACAAAAAACAATAAATGCTAATCAAAAATATATTGAAGCATTGATTGAAGAATGTGAAAAACTTGTTGAAAAATGTGATGAATTAAAAGTAGATATTAATATTTTTCAATATTGATGAATAATTTTTATTTGCTTTTTTTTTGTAAACATAGGTATTACCCGAACCACAACCACCAAGAACATCAAGTCCAGCTGAAGAACAACAAAAAGGTTTTTATTTTTTGAAGAAAAACCATTACAAATTTGAAACTTTAAAAATTTCTATTATTAGACATTGAAATCTCGGCTGTTTTGAGTCCAGTCGCTGTCGAAAAAGAAGAACCAAAACATTCAGAGGTAAATAACATGTTTCTTTGAATTTATTAAAAAATGATAGCATGTCTGTATTCATTGTGCAAGTGAAGATATAGACGGAATAAACTTCTTCTCTGTGGTATAGAAATTTTCGAGACTTCTAAAATGTCCAAGTATTCAAAAGTTTTAGAAGAGATTTCTATTATGGAAAAAACTACTGATACAACTTCAGTGTAGGTATTACCGAAGAGAAGATTCATAAATTCACGCCATGTCATAATATTGTAAGCAAAGGAACTATGAGTTTCTTACTTGATGATAATGTTCAAATATCTGTTTCCAGGCAAAGTGGTAGTTACAAAGAACATAGTAATCATGATCTGAGACGTCGAAGAAAGATGAAAATGATTACTAGAGATTATTCTTAATATTAAGTAGGTGATGTCTGAAGAAACTTTTGTTTATACGCAGACAATGTATGACCAAAACTAGGTTAATAGAAATCAATCCTTCTAGAGAAGTTTGTATTTCGGAGAATAGTTTAGCTAAAAAGTCACCCGCTTCATTACTAATATTTTTTAGTAAATAATCATTGTAAACAATATTTCTATTGTCTATGATCTCGTGAATAGAAACATGTTTATTATGATCAGTTTCTTATGGTTCTTTCAATAGAATTACTTGCAATCGAAGAAAAATTAATCAGTGAATAGAGAAAAAACTTCTCACAACTTTTTTTTTATCGTTCGAGAGTTTTTTATTTAAAAAAAATATGACAGCTTGATCAATAGAAAATATACAATATATCCTTAAAGTCAGAATCACCTCAAACATGATTTATTTTACAAGTGTTTGTGATCGTTCCACAGAGATCTTTGTCGAAGTTATAATTCTTATCTGAATAATTGTATTGTTTACAATATTCTTGTAATCATTTGTTGAAATTTAAAAACAATTATTGAATTCTATTGCTGTTTTAGGTTATAGATTCAACTTTATTTGCTACACCACCATCAATTAAAACTCGTGATGTTGATGTACAAACATATATACCATCACCATCACGATCACCGTCTCCACCGATCGTTACTACAGCATCAATTGAAGAAATAATTGAACCATCGGAACCACCATTACCATTCTATGCCGAAATGATATTTTCTCATATGAATGGTGTTAATCAATGGATAAATCAATTTTGTCTTGAGCATGAAATAATGCAAAATGATATTAATATAATACGAGTAAATTTATCTGTTTTTTAAATTTTAACAAAATTCATTAATATTTATTAATTTTAAAAATAGGATCGTCTTGAAAAAATTAATCGAGTAACTAGTCAGATGATGTTTTCAAATATGAAAATATCACCATCCGAAACAAATGAAAATTCTGGTGGATTTTATTCATCACATCAAACATAATGTATAAAATTATGTCATATACTCTTTCTATTTATGGTATTTTGCATTAACTCTTTTTCTCTCTTTATTGCCATACGTGTCTTTTTTTTTCTATTATAAACAGATCATTTATGAACTTGTATAAACAGATAAACACTTAATAAATCATGTCGAGAAAAAAAAATAACATTTGTATTTCAGTGAATGTATAACGAAATTTTTTCGAGGATCGGGTTATTTCTGAGCCAAAAATTAATGCATTCTGTAGACATTAATGAATTATGTCTAGTATAAAACGAGTTCGTGCCTATAAGTTGTTTCCTAGGAAATCGAATGACTTTTCTACATGTCGTCTGTCCAACTTCGCATTTGTAGCAAGATCCTATTTTCAAATTTCTACTTATAACTTTGCTCACGAAAACATGTTAACTAGACTACCTTTTATAAAAATTTTCAGAACTTTTGGATAAAATGTCTCCAAGATATGAAGCTTTCAAAAAACACAAGCTGTATGTACTACCAATGAACAACAGAGTATATCTCAAAAGTTCCCTATTTAGGATAGATTTAATTCTGCGAAAATTTCAACAACTTTCATTCAAGCTAGTCTGATTAACTTCTTTATGTGGGTAAAGTTTCAGATTGAAATTCGAAAACCTGTTCTGGTTGCAAATGTGAGATTCTATAGCCATAATTCATTAGAAAAGTTTAGTATAGTAAATACCAACTTTCATGAAATTCAAATTTCTATACGATATGAAATAATAGATAATACATTCTAAACATAGCATTTCAAGCATCTGGATAAAATATCGATAATGTGTAGCTCAAAATTCATTGTTAACCATTTATTTCAAGCAATACAATCAGCAGGTTTGAGATGGGAGTGTGTGGTGAGAATGGTCAAAAAAAAGTGAGCTCGAAACTGCGTAAGCTCGAAATTTCGAGCTCACTTTTTACAAGTCTACATTTTTCCAATGACCATCAGTTGAAGCCATATATCATAAGCATTAACTAACTGTAAATAATTTAAATAATTGGTACTCAGCCTAATTAGTACTTACCTGAATCAGTTGAGTACTAATTAGATGACTACTCGCCTCAGTTGGTTGATACTCCTTTTAATGAGGATTAATTACGTGAGTACTCAACATAACAAGCGCTAATTAGTTTATTATTAACCATTTAACATCGAATATCAATCTCCACTTTGGATTCCAGTTGAATGGGGGCTTACTGCTGTACATCAGAAAACATGAACTAGATTTGATTGGTAACATGTAGATGCGTAAATAACCTCAATATTTCGAGTTGACGTGTCGAGCTCACTTTTTTTTCTGACCGATATGAAGGTGAATCGGGGCGGATATGAATGTGAATATGGGTGTCAGTGTTGACTCAAAGAAGATTCGCACCCATCCACACCCACACCCACATCCCATCTTTATTTATCAATCTAATAGAAATACCGGTGCAGAAAAAAGTTGCTAAGAAAGCTGAATTTTCTTTTACAATAAACAAACAATACTGACTTAGTTTCCATTTATTGAAGAGAAATAGGTCACTTTATTTCATGATGCTTTACGTAAATTGTTCAAGTTTTTGTGAATAAGTATGGCCTCGCACTGTCCACTTACAAAGCCATTATCCACATATCCAATTGATCCATTATTATTTGTAAGTTCACCAGCCCAGTGAACACGATCATCGTGAGACTCTCGTACTAATTCTTTCAGTAATTCAACCTCATTTCCAACGCGAAAACTAGAGTATGACCCACGAGAATATGAATCTGATCCCCAACATGTTACCAACCATTTAATGGGATTAGTTATTAGCGGATAAATTCGACGAAGTGAGTCGACTACTTGCTCAACAATGTCTTCATCACTTAGTTGTTTTACTGCCCAGGACACGTTTCCAGCAATATGCAGAACTAAAATACGACTTTCAGGCATTCAGAAATAATACCTGAAACGATTCGTGGTAATAAAAATCTGCATTAACTTTTCATCCCAAAAGATCGATGAAAATTAAAGAAAGACTTTGTTATGCAATCCGAAACCCATATTATCAATCGCTTCTTGTTTCCAATTGGGAATCAGTGGCGTAAAAACGATTGAGTATGTTTTCAAACAGCCAAGTGGCACAATTACAAGAATGTATTTGCATAAATAGTAACGACCATCGTTTATCAATAGATGAATAAGTCTGTCGTGCTGGCTTGATATATCGATGTGAGTAACGACAGTATTGAGCTGAATGGGAAGATTGTGTTGCTCAGCTATCTGCTTAATAAATGAACCCAACCCATCGACAAGACCGAGCTAACAATATTGAAGACCATCCTCTGCTTTCGTATACTGTTTAGCCGAAAGTTCAGTCAGACTCAATGTCTCATAATTTTCGGTGACATCCAGCCAAGTATCGAGAAGACGTCGCATTTTCGTGCTCTCGATTTTGATATATTCATCTAGAATTGCATCCAATACTGATATGTCCGCCCTCTCTAGTTGATATTGCTTGACTTTTGAAAAGAGTTGCTTCGTAATTTTCTTTACTTTCTCGATTAACGGTTCTGAAATAGTCGTTCCATCTTCATCGAAGATGGTCATTTGTTTTGTGTCATAAATATCAGAATACATCTGATCTCTGTCCGATGGTTTATAATAAGCACGTAAAAGTTTATCTGGTTCGTGATGACAAAGCCAATGAGTACAGGAGAATTCGCTCCAATAGTGCCTATGTCGGTGAAGGCACGACCACCCATCCGATCTCAAGCTTCAATAACGAGAAAGTGTGTAGTTGGTTGAAGTTTCTGAAGTTTGATTGCTGCACCAATACTCGTTGCACCACAACCAATGATTATCACATTGAATACATTGTTTGTTGTCATTCTTTGAGAGAAAAACAAAGAAAAGAGAAATAAGCTGTGTCATGGTACGTTAAAATATATCGGTCTCTTAAGAATAAGTAGATACGAAGAATTGGGGAATAGTGCTATATTGACACATGTTGCAGTAATACTTTCCAACCTTGATATAATTATTTCTTGACTCATTTCTCAATCGCGTCCCTCGATTAACACTAATGAGGTATTGGGAAGAATTCACTGACTCCTGATCTTATTCGACTAAAAAAGGAAATGAATCGTAGGTTTCATATGATTTTATTACTGTGGGTGTGAGAGGTTTCAAGTAAAAAGTACATTCTCACCCATTCATATTCACGAACATTCACATCTTTAAGTGCTGGATGTTTTGAGCAAAATGATTTACATTTTTTTAAGGTCACTTGGAAGAATCGATATTGATAACCCCAAGTAAAATATGTATTTACTCGATAACAGAGAGAATCACAGTACAAATGACGTGAAGACAAACAGATAAATGGAGATAGAAAGTGACGACTACTATCGAGGAGCGAAATAACAAACGAACTTACTTCAATAGATTCAACTAGCGCATATATAGATGAACGAAACGAAATTAAGTGATAGAAACAATGAATTTTCGAAGTGTTAAACGAGATCACAGATGACGAGGAAAACTTAGAAAGGAGAAATGAAAGGAACAAGGGATCTTTGATGTACGTAAGACCATAGCACGCAAGAAACGAATTAGTGCTAGTGCTGTAATATAACCCCGTCTGATAAACAAATGTTATTTTATCACATTTCGAAAGCATACAAAAAGACATAATGAAGCAAACACAAACGAGAACGAAAGAACATCCAGACAAGAGATACAGGGAGAACATAAATGCATAAGAGTGTCACATGGAGTAGACAAGCTCGAGCGCGAAATAGCATAAACCATGGAAAATAAACGAAAAAAAATGATGCAACGGAAGAATCATAACAATTTCGCGAAGAATGAAGACATCGAACGTGCAAAATATAGTTAGCTCACTATTATCTTTTCTTTTCATATGTCAAAGATGCTTGAAAGATCGGTTTCAATCATTGTTGCATTAGTGACGATTTGCAGATCACGAATCTGACAAGTGAGATCTGTGTCGACGTGTTAGTGGTCTCACTTTATTGTAGTAATCGTTTGAAAATCAACCTAGCATTTAGTTGTCATATTTTTGAAGCTTCGATGAGTGACAAAAGCTGATAGATGGAGATATTAGACCGATTAGTATAGCTACATCCTATTGATGGCAGCAAATAGATTTTGGTATGGGTGAATGATGCTCTTCATTCGACTGTCGGCGAATCGCCGATAAATGTCATGTCGACTATGGTGAGCACCATTTGTCTTTCGTTGCTCAGTCCATAGTTGCAAGAATTCATTGGTTGTCAACAGAAAAATGACAGTGAATGATAAATACGAATATCGAGCATCTATCACATCTCAGATAATCGAATGCCTATCGGTTGGTTATAGTGTGATGATGTAGTTGATGGTGATCGATGATGAAATAACGATGAATGTATCGACGATAAGTGAGATCGATTGAGTTGATATTTGGCGAAAGTGTTTGGCGACGACTGGTGCATGTGAATGGCCTGTTCGTGATCACCGAATGTCGATATGGATGATTGAAGCTGTGACAGGTGGTCTTGCGTGCTAACCTGGATATTGTTCATCAATAGAAAGTTATTATAGCCATATTCACTCATCATCGCATGAAATGGAGTTTGTGCCATATTCGAAATGAAGAGTGCTGGATCAAGACCAATATTCAGGAATGATCGTGTATGTCATTTATCAAACCATTCATAAAGTTTCAATGGGACTGCGTCTTGTAATGATGAACGATCGTCAGCATTTTTTCGATGTATTGTGGGCCAAAGCATTTGTACGTCGATGTCTGACAAAAACTGGTTTGTTGCTCAATCATGGTTGCTCATGCGCTAGTAAGCCTGTAACGTATTTTGCTGATCGATGGTGTGAGAGCCAGCGAATTGTTACGTTATGAGTAAATCGAGTGAAACGAATGGGTTGAGCTCGAACATGTCGCCTTATCTATGGATATATTTTGTGGATTGCAGAACGATGGCAGACAATCGACTGATCAGGTCGAGTATCTATGAGTGAGTCAGAGGAAGATGATCCATCTCGATGTGGGTAAGGGAATCGTTGATTCTGGCATCAACACTCATAGTTGAATCGGACCAAGTATATTCTGTATCCAATGTGAAGATGAATAAAATATGTGTGATATGAGCGATTGGGCGAAGTAGATTATCCGGAGTTGTTTGATCAGCTTAGTAATCGTGATGTGACAACAGCGTAGATAACAGATACTTTGAGGTATAGTTGTGTTGTGTAAGCTTTTTGCGAAGTCTGGTGAATAATTTGGGTCATGATCTTCCGTTGGCGTTGTTGGGGATGTTTGCCAATGAGTAACGGAATGATTGAAGTTCTTGTAGCGAGAGCGTAACTGAATGATACAAAGGAAGTTTTAGATTTAAAGCACAATTCTGAATTAAGAATCTTTCGAGTTTTCTAGAGAAAATATAATTCTGATTCAATAATTCTACATCACTCTCGTATGATTTGTAAGATAACATGATTAAGATGTTGTTTTATACGGTGATCATTGATGTTCATTGCCCTTTTTATATAGTGACAATGCACGATGAAGTCACGATCTCCCGTGATCAAGTGAGAATCGAACGCGAGTCGAGCAATGGGTGGGTGTAGGTGAAGAGAAGACTTCAGTTTTAATAGCCACATCTACATACACATTCTTTATACTATTTATTCGCATTATATAAGATTTAGACTATAAAAAATAAATATTTTCAGAAGAATTTCAATTAATATTTATTACCAATCTTAAAAACGCTTATTGCAAATCTAAGCACATTCGTGATTTACTTATAAAGCTTAGTATACTTAGTGATGTATTTCATAGATGTTTTTCCATTTGTTCCTCCAATTTCAGTACTAATGATATATGAAATACGGTTCTATATTTAAGCAAAAATCCTGAAATACATGAAATCACTGAAAGCAATAATCAAATTGATTCACGAAGGAGCATAGTGGGATAAGATCTTTTCCTGGTCCAAAATATTTTCGACCTTTTTACATTGGCACCATCTCAACGGGGTGCTCAGACATCTAGTTTCGTGAAATCGCTCGTTTATGTTTTTTTAGATCTGAAGCTCGTGCAAAATTTCTGAAAAAAGTTTTTAATTATCGCAGAACCCAAGATACAAAATTCTACACTATATGCAAATATGAAGTCAGCAAACGTATTCATACTTGAGCTTTACTTGGAAGTCTGCAAAAACTGATAAAAATCGTTTTTTTTATGGTATTTATTTTGGATAACTCAGATAGAAACGTAGTCACATCGCCAAACTATAAGAGAATATGTAACTTTTCTCATTCTATCTGATGACATTCAGATAACTCAGCAAAAGATTTTGAAACAGGCTCAAATTTTCACAATACCTGCTTTGATTAGAGTAGACTTGGCTAGAATTGAAATCGAAATTGGAGTTGATACCTTTTTTAGAAGAAAATGATGGAAGAACAAGTGGGGCCTAAGCTCAAATTGGAATTAGTTGATTAATTTTAGTGCTGAATCTAAACCCAAATCCAAACTCACTTTTGGCCAAATTCATGGAGTCCAAACCGTTTGGATTTAGTGTATGCTTAACCGCATCCACACCAGTTCTCACACACTCCAAATACACACGCATTTCTATACCCTCTTTTTATAGATCTATAGGAAACCCTATGTACGAAATCTGTTCTTCTGTTTGTCCAAAGTAAGTTTGATACAAAAT